TGATGAGCCACTTGATAAATCAACAGATTTGTCAGTCCCTTCAAGTTCTCTGTATTTTTGGGTAGCACCTTGTGCATGTTGTGTGTGCAAATTATTTCAGATTTTTGTTTTTGCTTCACTTTGCTTTGTATTATAAGGCAGGACATTAAATTGAAAGAAATAAATCTAATTTTTAATATTTTAAATTTCAAAAAGTTGTTACCTTACTCTCACTTGCAAGCAATGATAATAAAATTTGTCTTAATTCTTTAAAACTTGATTTTAAATTATGACTATAGAGTTACATTAATTTGGAGAATTTTTAATCCTTGTATGATTGTTAAAAATAAACCTGAACATTTTAACTGTCTAATTAGAATAAAAAGGATAAATTATATGAGCTCACATTTTTTTTTGTCAAGGGTAGATAATATTTTTATTACTATATATATATATATATATATATATATATATTTTAAGACATTTTTATGTTTATACATTCTTTTTATAGATACAAATATTTAAGTAAATGCTGTTTATAAGAAACTTATTTATAATTTACTTAAATATTTGTATATATAAACATAAAAATGTCTTAAAATAATTGTCGGATTTTGTCCATTTCCTAATAATATATATATATATATATATATATATATACACATACACATAATATACACACACAGGTCAACAGTGAGTGGGTACAATCTGTTTGATGCTTGAAATCAATCTGGAAATTGTCTTCAAGTATGAAACACTGTCACCACTCAGCATTGACCTCAGTGTTCACTTTTCTATTTACACATGCTCTATCCCTGATATTGAGCGCTTTTGTCCATAAATAATGCATATATACATAAACTATATCTTTATCATATATATATATATATATATATAATAATCTGTTGGTAAATAATCCAAGTGCAGCTTAATAATATAAAATATTAAAACTGATCCACAAAAAGAGCTCAATGTATTTATTGTAACAGAACATATAAATTACATAGAATAAAAATCCAAAGTTATCTCATTCGAATAGCTATTTCAACCCACGAAACTTACTTGTAGGCCTTTTCAACTCAGAGATATGAAGAAAAAAATACTCATGATGTTGTCCAAGGAGTTAATTGATTTTTTTATCTGACATTACATTTTTGTGGATGCAATTGTTTGAGTAGACATCATGTTTTTGATTTTTTTTTCAACAGTGAATATCAGCCTGTACATTTGAGAGGCTTAATAAAAAAAAAAAAAAAAATGTGCTCTCTAGCAGAGTAAAAATCTGCATACCTCTTTGTAGGGGGAATCCACCCTCTGATCTAGCATGGATTAGATTACTCGGCCACCTTGCCGGACAGAAAATTGGTTTCTGTAGCTCATAAGTTTTTATAAAGTGGAGTTGCTAGTCCTACACTTACTTGGTTCTGGAGTCAGAGATATCCTTCTCCTAGATGGGTTACCAAACAAAGCTAAAGAAACCAGTTTCCCCTGCTATTACTCTTTAGCTTGAGGAAAAAATTGTTTTTCTGGAGATATTTGTGGAAAAGTGAATACAATGGCTTCAGCTAGAATTTGAACTTGATACACCAGTCCCATTTTTTGTGTTAATAAGAGCTCCATTACCAGCACATCCTTATGATGATATATCTTATAATAAAGAGATACACTTCATAGGAAAATATACTTTCATAACAGATGTTATGTTTACCTATATTTTTTGTTAATAAGTAAGGTTTATATGATGATAAATCTTTTTGTCCTGCCTTTCAAATGTTCTGTGTCCTTTGTTTCTGCTATATATATATATATATTTCTCAGAATTAACTTGTAGAAAAAGACAATATGTATAAAGGGAAAAAGACAATAGAAAAACTGTAGTTTTAGCTGACGTGTTTCGTTCAGTGTGAATTTTTCAAAGTAAAAACCGAAATGAATTTATTGAAACAAAGTATCTATAAACAACAAACACAAATATCATTAGCAACTAGAAAAATTTAGAAATGCTATTGTATATTCATATGGACAACTGAAAAATTACATCAATTACTTTGTTTAAAGAGTGTATTTTCACATGTAGAAATAGCGTTTGTATTATTATTTTGAAATAAATTCAACCACAATTTTGATTTTTTTATAAATGCTACACTCATAAAAAAAAAAGAAAATAATTCACTCAAAAGGAAAATCCTTGAAAGTGCCGCCATTGAATATTATCCAAATATTAATCTATGCCAGGATTTTTCCCAATATCACCTTTACAAACAGAATCACTGCTCTTCCAAGCCAATGTACACAACTATATCAAAAGAAAACGGTTGAATCTATCAACACAACAATACAAACAGTATTTCTACACATGAAAATATTCTCTTCAAACATAAAGTAATTGACATAATTTTTCAGTTGACCATATGAATATACAATAGCATTTCTAAATTCATCTAGTTGCTAATGACATTTTGTTTCTTGTTTATAGATACTTTGTTTCAAGGAATTCATTTCATTTTTTTTGCCTTGAAAAGTCCAAATTGGATGAAATGCATCAGCTAAAACTAGTTTTCCTATTTTTCCTATATATATATATATATAATCAAGAACATTTTATGGAAATCTGTGACAAAGTGGAAAAAGTTTTCTGTTGATGTGTTCCATCTTTTAGGACCTAATTCAACTAAGGTGATGTTTACGTTGATGTGACTACATGATGGAGAGGCGGGATACTGAGAATTTAAAATTTAAATTGAATTTTTTTTTTAACATGTGTTTTAAATATATAATCTAACCGATTTCATTTATCACCTGTAATAATTCTCACGTAGAAGAAACCTCAAGGAATTTAAATAAAAAATTATAAGAACACAAAAGGTATATTTTACAAAAGAACACACTCAGGTGCGTTAGTTGCTCACCATGAGGAGTCTCAGCATAATTTTGATTAAAAATGCTACTTTAATTAAAAGAGAATACAATTTACTAAGAAGAAAATATATATAGAAAGTGCTTTAATTACTAAGTCCTCCATAGTAAATCTATGGCTAGGTTCTGATAACATTTCATCTTTTTTAGCAGATCTTCTATTATCACATTGTCGTATATTTAATAAGAAAAGAGATAAAAACATAAACAAAAAGAAACTAAATTAAATCAGCTAGACTATACACCAAAAACATATTTTAAAAAAAAATTGAATTTAAAATTTCAGTATCTCCTTCCTTCATGCACATGTGTTGTCACAACAATGTAAACATCACTTTAATCTGATGAAGTCCTAAAGGACAAAAGGCATCACCCAAAATTTTTTTCTATTTTGTCATAGATTTCCTTAAAATATATATATATATATACACACACACACACACAGATATATATATATATATATATATATATATATATATATATATATATATATATATATATACACACAGATACACTGCATCAAAAATACTTTTACAAACTTGATGGGCGGGGGGTTCCTACCACAAAAATGATGTAATGAATAGGCATACACCTGGGTTCCCCCTCACAGTAATATGATTGTCTGGTGTCAGCCATAAATACAGACTGATGTGGAGGTACAAGGGGATGCCTATTGCCTACACCTACAATGAGGACCAGTCCATTACAGTTATCTGCTAGATTGTCCTACTTGGTTACAGTAGTCCAAAACAACTTTGCTACTTCGAACAAATATATCCCTTTCTGGGACATATCAAAAAACAAGGACAAAAGTCAATATAAACATTTGTCTGCAAATCCTTTGGTTTTGAGGGATTAAGTTTAAAGAAAGCTTACAGTAGATGGTGGTGTGTTGTCATGGAGACTGGGTTACATTTCTCATTTGTGTACATTTTTGGTTAGTCTGTCTTCAACATTCAATGTGTGCAGTCGTGAGTTAACTGTTTCATTTAACAATGGCAGGATATTCATATCATGAGCAGGGAGATATGATTTTTACATACATCTGCATGAATGGTAATGGACATGAGGCTGCACATCTGTATCGGATTGTGTTTCCAGATCAAAGGCAGCTAACATTTGCTGCTGTTTATCATCACATTGTTGAGACAGTATCCGTAACAAAGTTTGTAAAAGTGTTTTGGATTGTACATTTAACAGTGTCTACCATTAACCTTAAACTTAATAAGAAAAAAAATGAAGGATTTGCAGACATGTTTATATGGACTTTTGTCCTTGTTTTGGTCTGAGGAACCCACCTCCAAAGTTTGTAAAAGTATTTTTGATACACCCTCTGTGTGTGTGTGTGTGTGTGTGTGTGTATATATATATATATTTTAAAACATTTTTTATGTTTATACATTCTTTTTATAGATACAAATATTTAAGTAAATGCTCTGTTTATAATAAACAATACTAACGACATTTACCGGCCTGAATGTCTGAGAAATCTCCATAGAAAATATGTGTCCTCTGACAGGAATCAAATCTGTATCCTATATGGAACTGTCATATAGCCTGACATGCTTTACCGATTTAGCCACAGAGGAGCATTTTGGTTAGCAAGGTTGATTTTTACTGTTTTTAAACTACAATTCTCCAGTCAAAATTGACCTTGCTAACTGAAACTCTCTTCTGTGGCTAAATCGGCAAAGCACGTCAGGCTATATGATGGTTCCTTTATAGGATACAGGTTTGATTCTTGGGAGAGGACACATATTTTCTATGAAAATTTCGACATTCAGGCTGGTAATAAATTAATTTATGGTTTATTATAAACAGAGCATTTACTTAAATATTTGTATCTATAAAAGACTTCTATAAACATAAAAAATGTCTTAAAATAATTGTCAAACTTTGTCCATTTCATAATATATATATATATATATATATATTTATATATATATATATATATATAAAGTTCTTTCTCTTTTTGCTTAAAACCTTCTATAATATAAATTGTTTTGCATTTGCAATTTTTGCATGTTCTAGAACTTTTGGACATTACATCAGAGAGTGGTCAAGATTTCTTCAACAGCTACTCATCATCAAAGACTGCACTGCCCATGAACGTGTATCCAGGCTCCACCAAACCTGCAGTCCAGTCTTCCTACCAACATCGCCCTACTACTACCTCTTCCCATCCATCATGGTCGTTCCTCGATGAAACCATCGACATGCTACATACTCCACGCTTTCTTAGAAACAGTTCTGCTTCTAAACAGCTTTTCGCAAAGGAAGGCCACGGTACTCAACCACCTGTGGCATCCTCTCGTTTCCATAACAACACTAATTCTAGTCATTTACTGCCCACAGCTGTTGGGTTGCCTCATCGCCATCAACATCATGCATCTCTACCCCTTTCACTAAATCGTCCCAGCTTGAGACCCTCTCCTCAGGTCCATAACAGTAGTATATCATCGTCCCACCATCAGCCCTTGATTGCCAGAACTGCCTACCCAGGTACTTACCTTCTAACCATGTTAACATTGTAGTGTTGTAGCTAGTTTCTACTAACTAGAAGTCTCTCTTTAGATAAGACGAAAGAGGTATTATCTATCGTTTTCAATGTTGTTTGATGGAAATTATGTGGAAATAGGATCTTTTGTTTCTTCAGTTTCCCTCCTATCATGTAAAAATGTTGATAAAATTTGGTAGAATTTTTAAGAATGCTAATTTTTCCAAAGATAATCTTTTTAATCTCTAATGATAAATGTGAAGAATTCACATTGTGTTTGATTGTTTCAAATTCCTTCTAAGCAAATATATTCCAACAATGTGTTTGTCTGAATTTTTGTGGAGGTACTATGAATTGATGGATAGCAACTCAGACTGAGGAATCGGAAAGCTGAGTTCAGATACCAACCAAGTCATTGCATACTTTGGAAAGGTATGGATTCTTCTCTCCCCTAACAGCTATGGGTAAAATAGCAGGTTAGATTGGGTTTTATAGCCTTGATTGGTAACCATTGTAAGAGAATGAAAACTCTGAATTCAAACCAGCCTGGAGAGGGTTAGGCTCCATTATGTTATCTTGCCCAGAAGACACCACTGCTGATATGGCTGCTGTAGGTGTGGTGCTCCTTAGACCCTAAGGGGTAAAGGGTATTCATGATTGTCAATATATGTATATTTAAACAGCACTATATAATTATTGAATCGGAAATAATACAGTTCAACACTTATCTACAGTCAACTCAGAGTTACATAATTATTCTTGTCAAAAGTCCTGACAAGTGAGAAGTTACAAAACTCAAGTATTGAACTTAATTATTTCCGATTCAATAATATACATCTTGGAGGCAAGGTAGAGTAATGGATAGTGGCTCGGATTAAGGAATTGGAGAACAGAGTTCAAATCCCAGTAGAGTTCATTACATTCACTTATGTACTTGGAAAAGTTATGAATCCATCTATTCTCCCCCACCCCAGCTATGGGTTAAATAGCAGAACAGATTGGGCTCTATAGCTTTGATTGGCAACCAGTCTAGGAGAAGGGAAACTCTGAAACCAGCCTAGATATGGTTGGGCTCCATCAGGCTGTCTTGCCTTAGAAACACTACTGCTGCTATGGCTGCTGTAGGCATAGTGCCCCTTAGACTAAGCGATTACGGGATTCATGATTGTGTCTGAATTTGATAAGAAGAGATAGAAAAAATAATCTCTAGGACAATAGCCTAGGGAATTAAACATTCCTCATTATGTGTTCAAGGAATCGTGAATTTGGTGACATTTGGTGTTTTTAGTCTGGTGAGAAATTGAGTGCAAAGCCTATCCATTCCAACATGATACTACAGTATTTTATTGACTGTGGTTCAAGGCCTGCTTGTAGCAATTTTTCTTTTGTAAATTTTCCCATTTTTTTTAATCTGATCTCTAAGTAAAAGTAAGCCAAAAGCATAATATTTTCACATGGATGAAAAAATGCTTCAGTAATTGGTTTCCCAATGTGTGATTAGAAATGATAAAAGTAACTAAAAAATAGTAATCATTTAATATTTAAACAACAATTAGGAAGTGTGATTTATTTTGTTAATCTATAGTATAATTTTTTTCATTTCTATTTGTAGGTATATTTGTTTGCTTGTTACCATAACACAGCAAAAATAGAACATTATAGCAAGATTTTTGTTAGCTCAATAGCATTAAATAGCATTATCTTGAAGAATAAAGGAACTTCCAATCCAACTTAATAATGTGGGGTCAGCATGCACCCTGATAATAATGATCAGAATGCTGCTTGTTTATTACCAAAGATGATTATGTCAACATTAAATGTGTGTCTGGGGAATTAAAAGATTACTTAATACTGTATTGATATGTTTTTGTTAGAAAATATTTTTATTTCACTTATTATTGTAAAAATATGTATCTTTATTTTATGCAAAAATTATTAATCTTTCTTTCTTTTTTTTTTATCATTTACTATTTTTTTCATTTCATTTCCCCTTCCATCATTAATGTTCGCACACTATATTACAAAAAAAAAGAAAGGAAATGTTTCTAAGTCATTTAAGAGTAGACTCCTGCTAATTCTGGATTAGTAGAAATAAAGATAAAGTTAACTTTAAATTTTGAATGTAGTTGGGGTTTGGTAAATTACAGAGTAATTCCTGTTTATTTATTTATTTGCAAATAATATAAATTCTGCAAATAGAAAGTGAGTTGATGATCATAAATGCATTTAGCTGCACCTCAGTCCAGGGTTTGAGTACCATGTCCAGCACCTTGATGCAAGCAATGGCATGATATGGCCCTCATGCATGATATGGCCCTCATGCATGATATGGCCCTCATTGCTAATAACCTTCTGGAACCATTATAAATTACATGAACATGGTGTACGGTACTGTGAGTGCTTTTCTGGAGTCAACACAGAACTGCCTGTCTATGTTTCTGAGATGAGATATTATGTACACTATTTACATTATTTGAACTATTGTCCTCATCTTTGTCACTATCTTCATCACAACGTTTCAACTGTTGTATGCTCCAGCCTTCTTCAGGTGGTTGGAATGTCAAACTGAACCCTTTATTTTACTCACTGGGGTAGACTGTTCTAGTTCCATGTGCCATGTTTAATGGATGTCAGTTATCAGTTATCTCCTGTTAATTCCCCTCTCCAAGTTCACTACTGCCTTAACCGGGTATTGAACACACACTCTTTGGGTCCACTCACTGGATCTAACTAACGCCTTTATCCATTGTGCCATGTGTCCATGGCATGTGGAACTAGAACAGTCTACCCCAATGAGCGGAATAAAGGGTTCAGTTTGACATTTCAACCACCTGAAGAAGGCTGGAGCATACAACGGCCGAAACGTTATAATAAATATGGCAGCAAAGATGAGGACAATAGTCCGAATAATGTAAATAGTGTACAGAACTGCCTGTCGATCTTCCCATTTATCTGATCACTTTCGAGAAGTTTCTTCTCTCCAAGTTATTATTGTTGGTTACTAGCATCACAGCATAGTAAACTGCTTTATTTCTTGTGTCAGATTGGGAACTGCTATGATAATGCCCTTGGTACATCTAAAAGAGAAATGAGAATATTAGAAATTTGGTGTACATTGTATAGCATTGCATTACAATACATTTTTCATTTATGACTATGAAAGTGATGTTCTCAAATATCTGGCATTCCTTGTATGGTTTATTCACTAAATGTAACAATTACTACGCTATAATTGGACAGAGGTCATAATGCTTCTGAGCTTAAATAGGTTCAGCATTCATCTTTCAAACACTAAATATATCAAAATATCATAAACTATGTTTGTTCTATAATAGTTTATCACACTCTTAGTCCTATAATAGTTGTCACAATTTCATATTTTTTTCATATATGAAATGTATCACCTATTATGCGACTGATGTAAAATATCACAATGCCTGTCCCATAATAATTGTTACAATTTCACACATTTTTCATACATGAAAAATAACATCCATTTTGGGACTGATATAAAATATCACAATGTCTGTCCCATAATAATTGTTACACTTTCACACATTTTTCATACATGAAATGTAACACCTATTATGGGACAGATATAAAATATCGCAATGTCTGTGTCATAATAATAACTATATATATATATATATTCTATACACTAAATCTAACAACTACTATAAGACAGGTCATAATACTGAAGTAGTTACTACATCTGTGTCCACCTTTCATATACTAAATCTATCAACTATTATAGGACAAACTGTATATTACAATCTTAGTTTTTACAATGTCATATATATTTTATTCAAAAGAAATCTTTGAAGAAATTGGCATTTAAAGGCACTATTCAGCTTTGCTCAATTGGCAAGACCCTTTGTAGCCAGGTTGCTCTAAAGCACATCGGGTTTAATGATGGTTTCTCCTGCTAAGTGGGATGCAGATTCAAATCCTGCCAGAGCATGTATCTTCAATAAAATTTCTCAAATATTCAATCTGGTAGACAAAAATAAAGAAATATACTGTTTAATGAATAAACGGAGCATGTACTCAAATATAGATATCCACTAAAAATAACATTTAAATAGTACAATCTGTTAGATTAATAAATTAAAAAAATCCATTACTTTTTTAGAAATCGCTTTGTTTACGTTAGGATACAAAACTGAGCAGATATAAATGTTTCTAGAAATTTACGCTTAAAAGCTTTATTCAGCCTTGCTCAATTGGCGGGACCCCTTGTGGCTGAGTTAGTCTAAAGTATGACAAATCTAATGATGGTTTGAATCCTGTCAGAGGGTGCGTCTTTTCTTTAATAAGATTTCTCGAATATTCTGGCCAGAAAACACAAATATACTGTTTAATAAATAAACAGAGCGTCTACTCAAATATGGTTATCCACCAAAAATAACATTTAAGTGATAAAATATTTAATTCACTCATTCTAATAACTTTTATCAAATAGAATTAATAGTAGACAATTTATAAGTGAAGATATAAAGATATGAAAAAGATATGAATAAAGATATAAAGATATGTAAAAAGATATAAAATATCTTTATGAGTAAATATATTTGGAAATAATAAGTTTCTTACTATTTTTATATTATTAGATAGATTCCTAACATTATGATGATAAATATTTTACAAATAAAAAATAATGTTAAAAGGTAAAAATATAAAAATGTTCAATTGTATCTTATTACCAAATGTTTTAGATTATTTTTTTTTTTATTATGGAAGTTATATTGTCCTTGTTCATGGACATTTATTAAAACTATACTTTCTTTCC